TGGTCTCTCTACCGGGGCTGAAAAAAACATTTCTGTCATGCAGTCCTGGTTTAGGAGTTCTCATAGCTTATTAAAGTAGAGTTTAAAGAAGGGCAGTTGGTGACCTCAGGTTGTACTGACTGGTCTAACATGCCGTCTATTTATCACTTTTTATCCTGTATCCTATAGGGAATAACAATTAAACATGTTGTTCTAAGACTTCTCCTTCACCAAACACCATGCTGTCACTTTTTATTGCTTCAATTAAATTCTCACTAGCCCAGCACCAGTGATGTATGTGGTAGTGGTAGTAGGAGGGTCATATGAAGTTCAGCACTTTATTTTTAATGAAGTCCCAGAGAGAATGAACTGAGTTCTTGTTCTTGCTGATAGAAATGTCTTGTTTTTGTGGAGTAAACCTATAGTTAGGGTTTCAGTTGTAACTCTAGGTTGTTATGCCGAGTTGTTGGATTTATTGCTTGTTGCCCAGTAGCTTGCTAACAGCAAACATACAACTTGAAAAGAAGCACTTGGGTTAACACTGATAACTCCTACATAGAAATGTGCTGAAAGAGATCTTTCATATTTGATACATCACAAACAATATTCTTTTATTCAGCATTTATTATTTATATTTAGAGCATTAACTGATGCTTTTCATTTCCATAAGAGTATTCTTGGAAGAAAACAATGCCAAATTCCTGGTAGAGTCTGACATTGAATACGGACACTGACCAGAACGCCTTAAGTAATTCTCTAACCTGGTTTTGTCAGGAAGCCAGCAGCAGCGGCCTAGAAACAGGAAGTAATATTCCAGCCACTAAACCAGCTGCCTTTGGATGAATAAATATTAACAGAGTTCAGCTGATGGTTAGGCAGGAGAGCTGTTTTATTTTCTGTGTGCATGCACACTATGTGATTTTGCTGGAGAGACCCAGGCAGTTGGACAGCATCAGAATGACAAGCCATTGTTATTATTAAAACAGACCCAACTGTTTTATACTTAATATTATATCTGTGCTTTAACGTTAATAATCAACTGTTTTACACTGACATGAGCAGAGGAGTCACCTTCCTTTCTCCATGTCATTTGAATAACATCTGTTGTCCAGGAGATGTCAGGCTGCATGTTGTTGTCCATGCAGCTTTCCACAGTATGATTAATGATGATGCCACACACAGTTATGTAGGCTGGTTAACTCATGCATAACCCCGATATTAATTACAGCACAGTCATGAAGGAGTCATAATTCCCTGATAGAGTATTCTTCTGAATAGTTGCTTTTAAATTGGCCGTGTGAGTGTCTCTCTCTCTCTCTCTCTCCCGTCGGCGCTGCAATGCTGTAAACAGGGATTCTGATTCTGATTCTGTAGAGCGAGACCGACAAATCGCCTGAGGCTCTCAGGCTGAGGGTTTGTGGTGACCTGAGAAAAGCTGATTACATTCGTCTAACAATTTAGCAAAAAATCCCCTTCAATTTTATGATCAGCTACAGGTTGTATAAGAGATGGTTTTAATAGAGCCTCCCAGATCCGTTTTGCCTGGGGCACGTAGAGTCCCATTAAACACGCCTGCCTTGCTGAACGGCCCTAATGAGAAATCTGCCTGCAACATCGCTACCATTTTCCCCAAGTAGCTGCTTAATATTGTTGCAATGACTGAGTTATTCTGCCGTCTTCCTTTGTTTTGATGGAAGGAAATTGTCAGCTAAGTGGTGTGTTGTGGTGACACGTGATTTCCCCGCTGCTGCCGTTCCCTTAGCATCTGAAAGTGAGGGTTGTGCAGGAGTGACAGATGTTGTCGAGTCCCCTGTTCCATGCTGCCCAGCCACGGCAGGTTTATTCTCATGGTGGCGCCTCATCTGATACCTCCTGAAATGTAAGCCTGCTGACCATTACCAGGTGACTTAAAGAAAACCTGCGCCTTTCACTTTTCTTCTAACGTCTCACACATTTGCTTTCATTCAACACCTTGTGGATTTGTACTGCCTCGTTCAAACAAAACCTTTCCTACATATGCCAGCGTCTTCATCACATCGTCAGCTGAACGTCAGCTTTGCTCTCCCTGTTCTTTATGATTCCAAACCAGGGGCTTTTCAGCCACACGCCGTGCAGCTCTTAAAATGGCTGCTAACAAAGCCATGTAAAATTGTGCATCGTTGACTTGATAATGGCTCTTCTGACCTAGAATGGACACGTTTATTGTCAAGTAGTGATGTGTTCACTGTGTTCCCTCTCACACACGTTGTGCACGATATGTCTGTTAACAAAAAGATGACGACTTTCAAACTTGGTAGATATTTACTTGGCTAATACTCGTTTGTCATTTGCAGACGTCATAAGTCTTACTCCTAATTGTCACATGATCAAACCTACCAGCTACATTACTGAGCTGCATCCAGAGGCTTCTGTGCAACATTAGAGTGACTGGACTCAGTGTCATCCCAGCTATCGTGTTACCTAAGCCTTCATGATACATCAAGATGCCGACCTTTCTCTGTACACCCCCAACGCTTCTGCTTAGAATCAATTACTCTTAAAGTGACACGTCCTTCTTTGTGAATGCTGAGATGTTCAATTTTGGGAGGAGGGTCGATGTATTGCCCTCAAGCATGCACGTGTAGGAGGACAGAGATGGACACAAGTAAACAAGTTTGATTGACTTAACTACAGAATTCAAAATTATGTTAAGAATCTGAGAAAATGTACATTTGCTAAGAAAATCCTACACTGCTTAGATAAACACTACAGAGATAAAATAACCCATGAGAAATTAGTGTAAGTATTAACTTTTTTTTACTTGGCGCTTTATAAGTAGCTACACATGTTTTATGTTAGTAAAGAGTACGATAGAAATGAGAAATCACTGATATTTTAAAAATGAAATTCGTTTTTGTATTTATAAGAATATCTATAACAGGAATATCAATTTTGGAGAAATTATAGTTTGATTACAGTAATATACTTTTGTGAGGTTTGAAGTAAATGGGATGGCTCAATCAACCTACCTACAAAAGGATAAAAAGTAGAAAATGTATGGACATCATTCAACCGGCTTCAAAATGCCCAAACCTTCCCCTTCATTGCTACTGCAACTTCAAAGTACACTGTAATGTACTGCAAATCCAATTTCTATCCTTTTAAATTTAAAATGTCAGAAATACCAGAATGGTATCATGTTGAATTATGCTTTAGTTATCAGAGTGGATTTTTTAATTTTCTTTTTAAAGGCATGTAATATGTATAATAGCATAGCAAAATAAATTACATTTTATGTGAATATAATGCAGCGGAGAATGAGTTCTTATGCCAGCACACGACATCCTTGGCAATTACCTTAAGTGGTGTAACTTCAAAAAGTGCAGAAATGCAAGTGCTGCAAATATCTGAGAAGAGCTAATTAAAAAAAAAAAACAGGTCAGGCTGGCTGTGGCCTTTTTCAGAGAGGAAACAGGTGCCTGGAGCCAGGAAACAATGCTCCTACTCTGTTTGTGGTGTTATGCTTTGTTATGGTTTTGTTCCGCTCCGTTTGTGCTCTCAGTCTTTTGAAGAGGGGACCTCACTCTTGGAAATGCTTTCTGCCGCTCCGTTCGTCTTTCTCTAACTGAGAGGTCTGCAGAGTGAAATTTCCCCACCTAAACACGGCCTCAGAGGGATTTCACTTTCGTCACTTAGCAAATACCATGCAACGTTTGTCATCCCGCATTTGTGTATTTCTCACAGTATCCCACACACAGTCCAAATATTTCAATTTCAATGTTGCTTTGAAAGCTCAGTAAGTCAATACATGTTAACACCAGTGTTTCAAAAAAAGGTCCTCCTCCCCCTCCCTATTATCATTCAGCATTTGTTTATCTGGCACTAACATGAATCTGAAGGACAGGAACACAAATGTCAGGGTTAGAAAATGAGTTAATATTATTAAAGTATGGGAGGGAGACGCGCCTCTTTGAATTTGTCTTTCTCTGCTGAACGTCTGTACGTCTGACCTTGATTTTGTGCATGCAGCAGTGTGAGGGTGGGGGTGTGTTGGGTAGATGTTAATGGATAGGCGTGGTCAGCTGAGATCTACTCTGGCTCAGAGTGTATTGTGACACAGGGCTGCAGATGTGGCCGGTGACCGTAGAAACCTGAAGAGGTAGTGTGCACAGAAAAGAGGTAGCAAGGCATTGAATAAAAAGGAAGTGTGGAAGGTAGTATCGAAATGACTTTCACCTGTTTCCTAGTTGCGAAACTCCAACCAGGAGAATGCACTGATAATGTTCGCTGAATGACAAAATGCATGTGTAACATTGGCAGAAACTTAAAATGATTGGAATATCCAAATTTTCTAATTTATTACTACTACACTATTTTGGCTTGGGGGCTGCTATTCAACTGACCAGGCTGAAGTGATCTACCTATATTGAAAACTTTAAACATATATTTACTCATATTAACCTAATCATACTGAAATATATAAATGATATGATTGGGTATTGGTTAATGTAGCTGTATGGCACAATTTCATTTACTTACAGTATATGGCCATGCAGGATTATACTGTATTTTTATTTCATTTAATCCCTCTGTGATTTACCAGTGTACTGTATTTTTATTTCATTTAATCATTTAATCCCTCTGTGATTTACCAGTAGATCGCTATCTACTCATTAGACACCTGTGCTATAAACAGTGCTCCAGGCACAACTTATCCTTAGGTTCCCTTTTCTCTTTTTGGAAAAAACAGACAATGGTGCTAACATGCTAGTTTGCTGCTAGTACGTAAGCAGAGCCTCCAAAGTGCCTAAAATGGGCATATTTTAGGTAAAGAATGAGGAACAATTGGAAATGAGCTGTTATGTGGTTGACCAGCAACTAATAATGCCTCTGTGCCTGTGCAAGCTGGTTTCTCATTTTGTCTTCATGTAAATTTATGTGAAATATTCTTTCTTTTACGCCAGGCTGACGACACATATCATTTGAACATGATTCTAAGACTGCATTCATTTACATTTCTTTTCTCTCTCCTCTTCTTGCAGAACCAGACGCCTTGAATTCTTGGGGAGATATCAAACAGAACAAAACCCAGACGAGACTTTGTATCACAAGGATCAAGCGGGCAAAACATTGTGCTAAAGTGGATGCATGCAGAAGTCAAACAAGGCCAATGCACCATCAGAGCCATGTGGGAGGCAAAAAAGGAGTTTTTGTTTTTCCCCTGCATCCAGTCAAATCAGTCTCTCTACTAACACATGCCTAACAATCCCTGGCTCTCAGTCTGATTCTTTCCTCAGGCAGAGCCCCTGCTATGCACCCCAGCTCCCCTGAATTAGGCAGGCAGTCCAACCTCAGTGCCAGGAGCTGTGTGGGCATCCCACAAGTCTGGGTTCTGCCCACACAGTACTCACAGACTGCCCTAGAACAAAAAAAAATGAAATACACCAGAGTCCCTCCTCTGTGTGGTGGCTCCTCTCACTCTTGTTAAATTGGACTTTTGTGTTGTTCTGTCTGCATCTCCCCTGAGCTGTTATTGTTTCCTGAGCGGAAACCTCCCGACTCCACCACCAGCTGTATAATTTGCTTTCAAATTAAGGACCAGCACGAGTTCCCTTGTGCTCACCACCTGGTGGAGGATCATGGGATGCCGTCAGAGCTCGGAGGAAAAGGAAGCAGCGAGACGCTCACGTCGGATTGACCGCCACCTGCGCTCGGAGAGTCAACGGCAGCGGCGTGAAATCAAGCTACTGTTGCTAGGGACCAGCAACTCGGGCAAGAGCACCATTGTCAAACAGATGAAAATAATCCACAGTGGTGGCTTCAATCTTGAAGCATGCAAGGAGTACAAGCCCCTTATTCTATATAACGCCATCGACTCGCTAACCCGCATCATCAGAGCTCTAACCACACTCAAGATTGACTTTCACAATCCCGACCGCGCCTACGACGCTGTGCAGCTCTTTGCCCTCACGGGGCCAGCTGAGAGCAAGGGTGAGATCACGCCAGAGCTGCAGGGGGTCATGAAACGTCTGTGGGCCGACTCAGGGGTCCAGGAGTGCTTTCAACGATCCAATGAGTATCATTTAGAGGACAACACTGCCTACTACCTGAATGACCTGGACCGCATCTCAGCCTCTGAGTACATTCCGACCGTTGAGGACATCCTACGATCTCGTGACATGACCACTGGCATCGTGGAGAACAAGTTCACCTTCAAGGAGCTCACCTTTAAGATGGTGGATGTGGGTGGACAGCGTTCAGAGAGAAAGAAGTGGATCCACTGTTTTGAGGGCGTCACTGCAATCATTTTCTGTGTTGAGCTTAGCGGCTATGACCTAAAACTCTACGAAGATAACCAGACGGTAAGATGAATGAAAATTTCAATTTTCACTGCTACAAGATGTCTAAAACTGATGACCTGAAAGCCAGAGAGAACATAAATATCTTAGTAATATTTCAATATTTAATGTCCAACAAAATTATAGATATCAATAGAATGATTTTCCTAAAAGAAGAGAATCTATTTTTGGTGGATAATCTTTGGTGAGCCATGTTTTGATATTAGATACCTTAGGTACTTTGTGTTTTTAAAAGAAATGCAAACACAAATACATAATGCAAATATTAGTCCGCACATTAAAAAAAGACCAAAACAATCACACAGGAACATTCAATAGATCATTTCCCTCTTTACTTTGTCAACATTAAGAGGTTGCAACGTCTCATGCAGCCTCCCTTAAGTATTTCTACATGGAAAGAAAAAGAAAAAATGCCATTATCTTCTTTAAATAGTTCTGGAATTCAAATAATTCCAGCACATCCTCCTCCTGCTTATGTTTTTTGAATACTCTGATAGTCGCTGTATATTTGAATGCTTGGATAAAAGTGGGGTCAACGTCAGATACAATGGTGGGTCATCTATTTTCTGTTACTTCACAGCAATAAATCCCTATGTCTTTGGGAGTTTGCAGTACCTAAGTTTACCTCAGTGGTTTTAACTGTCTGGATCAGAAATAGTTTTGGAGCTACATCACAAACTTGGGGCAAATGTCCCTGTAACAGAGCTGGCCTGAAAACTGAAGGCTGGTGTGGATAAAACAGGGTGAACATTGTGTCAGGTCAGAACAGGAAATCAATTAGTTTTGCAAGTTAAAAATAAAGTCTGAGGAGAAAAATGCGGTATGGTGTTAATTGAGTTCACAGACTAAAGTGCAAGTCTGTACCTGTGAGAATTAGCAGAATGGAGCAACGGGAGTTCACAGGTACAAGGAAAAACAACTTGTTATTATAATAAAGAACAATTATAGACGGAATGGGAAAACAAGGAACGATCAACAGAAGATGTTCCACTGCCAAAGAGTCTATACAAATTCAATCAGTCACAAACAAACGTCTGGTCTGTTAGATTGTTGGCTAACGTCGGTGGAGGACGGCCTGGGTTGGATGGTGGACGGTTTATGAAATAATAATAACATTGCAACAACTGGGTTTGTCTAATTGTTAGGGGGTAAGCAATGGTTTCAGGTCATTTTTTCACATCTTCTATTTTTACTTCTCCTTTTCTAAAAGTTTCACAATTGCATTTTTTTTATCAGTTCTGATATTTGACTGCTTGCATAGAATATGGAAAGAAAATATAAAAAATATCTTAATGTGTGGTAAACAATCTATCTAACGCACGTTTGTTAGAGATATGATTTTCCAGGCTGCTTCAGAGACTAAGAAGGTCCTCATCAGAGGAGACACATTTTGTTGTGTCCACAGAACGTCTTAGTGATCCTAACCTTCAAAAGGCTGTCACACAGGCAGAGAACAAAGCAGTGCAGCCAGACTGACGCCCAGCTTTGTTTAATGCACCGACTCACCCAAGACCAAAAGCACTCCATAAGAATTACAGTACAAAATTTACCCATCAACCCATTCCCTGATGCATTTTCCCTGTCCCATCCCTGTCTTCATAATGAATAAGTTGCCGTGGCTACAGTTGCTTAGCAACAAGCCAGTCAAATGCTCCTAATCCTGCTCTGTTGACAGTGAGCTGTGACTAGGGATGGGTGGAGAGGAAGAGGAGGGGAGGGGACAAGAGAGAGATGGAGAGGAAAAAGGAGATGTGTGTATGTGTGTGTGCGAAGCTGGTGTATAACAAACAACAGTGCTGGAGAGAATTGTTGTCAGATGTGTTAATGCGTGCATCTGTTTTGTGTGTGTGTGTTTTAATTTGCAGTAAAGGGTTTGTATGTGACTGGTGAGGCTGCAGCACTGAAAATAAATTCAGTTTGAATGTGAGGTGAAAATGAAACACCTAGATGTGAGGACAGCAACTGTTTAACTATGCGTTTGGAGAAAAGTGAATAAATTCAATGTTATTTTGTTGCCTTTGTCTCACACACACACACACGTGTTTGTTCTCACACAGCAAAGTGAGAAGGTGAGCTCATTTACATGTAAAACATCTGGGACCTGGCTTACACCTTTGCAGTAAATGCTAAGACGGTGGTCCTCAATGAGGGGGTGTTGAATCCGATTTAACGATGGAACATGCAACACAACACTTGGCCCTTGTTCAAGCAGGAGTGGGTTGAGACGCTGAGAAACCACGGAGACAATTGTCTATCACAAACAAAGTTTCACAGGAAAGATAGCAGAGAATTCTGACGTGATGGAATCTTCTAGGTCCATGTGTCTGCTTGGTTTTTGGAATATCAAATGCCTGGTGGCATAGCTTTAAAAAAAAAAACCCCTCCATACTATTTCACAGCAAAGGTGTAAAAGACACCATCTGTGATGGTGTGTAGGTGTCTATAACCATGGGGTAGTATCAACAGCTGATGTATTGGCACATATCTCAGAGCTGCTGATGGCAAATGTCGTGACATCGTATATACCTGGGACAGTAAAGGATGTTTAGTCACCAATCAATCTCTTTGAACCGTTGAGGACCTTTAGGTTTTAACAGAACAGAAAAGAAACTGCTACGAATATAGAAAGAGAACATGACCTGGTCGTTAACTAACCCTTCATCCCAAACTCTTCGTGCTAAAGGTAAAAATTAAAAAATTAAGATGGTCATGGAAAATTCTCAAAGTCCTTTTCTGTCCTCTGAATAATCTAGAACCAGATTCAAGACCACGACCAAACTTGACATTTGAGGATGTCTTGCATTTGTAGAACATGATCAAACACAGGACATTTGATGTCTATTGGCAGACAAAGTGTAAATCTCACGTGCAGCAGGACAAACCTAATGAATTACACTGGTACTGTCACACACCTCAGCGGTTTTGTATGCGGAAAACACAACAATGACAGTGGACTGAACTTCCTCATTAATACTTAAGTTTAATTAAGGCATGTTCCCCATGAGGATCCTGACAGGAGGAGACTGTGTGTATATCAGCAGGTGTGTGAAGCAAAAAGAGCTGGTCTGTATGCACCGACTCTCCTGGGTGTCACTCCCTCCCCCCACTATCACTTCCCATTAAGAACTTACAGTAAAAAAGGTGTGGTGCTCAGAGGAAGAGAGTAGAGACCCGCTGAGCTCAGCTGGCCTTCCCCTGCCATTCTCTCCTGTTCCATGGGTTCTTGTTTTGACACCCTGAGGAGAGGAGAAGTGAGGTCAAACTCTCCGCTAGGCCCAAAGTGGTTTTTTGTAGTGAACAATATTTAGTGAGCAGCCCTGTGGTCTCTGAGGGCAGAAATTCAGAAAGGAGGGAGTTTAGTGTCACAGAGATTTAGATAAAAAAAAAACATATGGTTAGAAATAAAGAAAATTATATTATAAATCAGCATTCTTTATGTTGCAGGGCTATTGTAGCATTGTAGCATTGATGGAGGAGACAATTAGAAGCACCTCAAGGTTAAGGAAATAAAGTGAACTCTGAGCAAGTGTCACAGCTGATGTACCGATGTCAAAAATCCTTCGATGCTCACAAAATTGGAATGAAGTCTAAGCAGAAGCTATGTAAATACAACACCACTGAAATACATGATGTGGTTCAGAGACCAGTAAACATAAACACAATACAAATAACCTAAGTAATTTACATTAGTGCAAAGATTCATTTTGTATTTTCCCAAGTCCCAGCCCTTCCAACCCCCCAGAAACAGTTACTTTGTCCTTTTACAGCATAGTAATTGAAATGTGCTTCATTTCTCGGTAAATCTCAACTTTGGCATTTAAAAGTATAAATGTCACTATGCAGTGTAGAAGGCAAGAGAGGTGGGGTAATAGGACGAACCCTCGCCCCCTTTTTTTCTATGTCTGAGACTTAGTAGCAGAGGACCCTGCATTTGGGCTCTCACACCACTCAATTAGTTCTAGAGGAGGGCTGTAAGAAAACTGATTGTTTCAAATAGCCCCTGTGCCATATCTGAAACCTGCCTGGATAAGAGGGCAGTTCAGGTGAAGCACGGGGCAAAACAACCACCCAACAATGTATCTGTTGTTTAAACATCATCGGAAATGGTTCCTAACATAATATTATAATATAAACTTGAATTAACTACATTAGGTCTTCTGACTCACAGGAGCTGGCTGAAGAATAGAGGGGAAGACAAAGCACACACAAGGCACAGAAAACACACACATTACAATTTACAACAACTATCATTTTGAGTAGGGAGGGCACCATGCAACTTTGTCATGTCCGATAACGGTACTGCAACTTTAACTAACGGAGTATCTGCCGATACCAATATCACTGTGATACCTTATTTTTTCCCCTAGCATGTTGTAGACTACTACAGCTAAGGGGATAGCGCCCCCGTTTAAGGCATGTCACACAAAGTTAAGATGAGCATTTGGGCTTAGATATAGAATCGGAATCAGGCTTTTAGTAGTTTTTTTTTATGTTGATGGTGGAAATATAAAACAAATACCTGCCACAGGGCTCCTATTTGACAAAAGTACATCAGACCAAGCTGCTTTTCTATTGGGTGACCACAGTAGAGTCTAAATAGGTTTGATTTTGCTTGATTTTAATACTAAAATCACTTCAGGATGAAACCCTTTTGGTTTTTACAGAATGTTAATCTATTAAAATGTTTAATCAGAGTAGCTATTTAATTAGGTAGCTATGGATTATTCAACATTACTCATGATCAGAATTTATTATATGTATATGTGTATATATATATATATATATATACACATAT